ATCAATAAATGTAATTCATCACATCAATAGACTTAAAGACAAGAATCATATGATCATCTCAATAGATGCAAAAGGAGCATTTGACAAAATACAGCACCCTTTATGTTCAAAACATTAGAAAAATTAGGGATAACAGAATAATATCTCAACATCATAAAGGCTACCTATGATAAGCCTCAGGCCAACATCATTCTAAATGGAGAAAAATTGAAGGTATTCCTTCTAAAAATTGGAACAAGACACGGATGCCCTCTTTCACCACTTGTATTTAACGTAGTTCTTGAAACACTGGCCAGAGCAATTAGACAGATGAGAGAAATTAAAGGGATACACACAGGAAAAGAAGAACTCAAATTGGCACTATTTGCTGATGATATGATTCTACACCAAGAAGACCCTAAAAGTTCCACCAGAAAACTTTTAGAATTAGTAAATGAATTCAGCCAAGTAGCAGGATATAAAATCAACACCCATAAATCAAAGGCATTTCTGTATATCAGCAACAAATCCTCAGAGAGGGAAACGAGGAAAACTACCCCATTTATAATAGCCTCAAAAAAAAAAAAAAAAAAAAAAAAAAACCAAACAAACAAAAAAAACTTGGGAATCAACTTAACGAAAGAGGTGAAAGGTCTATATCATGAAAATTACAGAACCCTAAAGAAGAAATCAAAGAAGACATTAGAAGATGGAAAGATCTACCTTGCTCTTGGATAGGCAGAATTAATATTATCAAAATGACCATACTTCCAAAAGCACTATACAGATTTAATGCAATTCCAATCAAAATTCCAATGACATTCCTCATAGAAATAGAAAAAGCAATCATGAAATTCATCTGGAAAAATAAGAGACCCACAATAGCTAAAGCAATCCTTAGCAGGAAGAGTGAAGCACATGGCATCACTGTACTAGATCTTAAACTATACTACAGAGCAAGAGTAACAAAAACAGCATGGTATCGACACCAAAACAGACTGGTAGACCAATGGAACAGAATAGAGGATACAGAGACTAACCCACAAAATTACAATTATCTTATATTAGACGTAGGTGCCTAGAACCTGCATTGGAGGAAAGATAACCTCTTCAACAGATGGTGCTGGGAAAATTGGAAATCCATATGCAACAAAATAAAATTAAACCCCTATCTCTCACCATGCACAAAACTCAACTCAATATAGATCAAGGACTTAGGAATAAAACCAGAGACCCTGCATCTAATAGAAGAAAAAGTAGGCCCTAATCTCCATCATGTGGGATTAGGCCCCAACTTCCTTAATAAGACTCCTTTGGCGCAAGAATTAAAATCAAGAATCAATAAATGGGATGGACTCAAACTAAAAAGTTTCTCAGGAAAAGAAACAATCACAGTGAGGTTTGTTTACGAGACATCAGTTGAAATGTTTTCCATAAGCCAATCCATGGCATGAATCTGAAAGCTGATATTTAAGTGTTATTCTAGCAAGTTCATCCAAATTTTCAGTGGACTTTAAAGTTCAGTGTTCTTGGGCATAAGTAATTATAAAATTTTACCACAGTTAAAAGAATTATTTACAGAAAAGTTCCCTATTAGTTATCAGTTAATTAATTGAGGTTAAATAATAGTGTCTAATAATTTTAACACGTTTCTTAAACAATAATTGTAAAAAAAGGGTCTGAACAGGGTGAAGATGTTGCTCAGTAGTAGAGTACAATCCCCAGGATAACACATACACATTGAGGTTTTGTTTTTAAAGAACAACAATCTTTACAAAAGGAGAGAACAAAGAAAAAAATACAAAATTCTTAGGTAGTTTTAGTCATTGGTATGGACTGAGAATCATGCAAAGAACAAACTTCTTAGACTTAGTGAATACCAGGCCCCATTGGGTTCCTACTAGTTTTAAGAGTTTAAAATCACTAAATGTGATTTTATTTAACATTACTTTTTACAACAATACAAACAAATCTGAGCTATTTCTTTAATCAAAATCTTCATTACTTTGTCTATCATGTCGTACACCAATTAGAACATTCAGTTTCTATAGAGTTGGGCTTTAAACATTTTATCATGTAAACACTCTGTTCTTTTTTCTAAAAAACAATATTGTAATTTAAAAAAACACCAAGTATATTACTATATATAAATCAGTACTATTCTGAGAGACTGGTATTTCAAATAGGACCAGTAATTTCTTTTTAAAACTTTAATACAGAAAACATATAACTAGAAAATAAGGTAACAAACGTTTATTGAATATATACTTTGAAACTAACTCCATGCTAAGTTCTTTATATAAAACTTGAGTCTCACAAATATAAAAAGAAAATGTTTGGTGTTTGTTTTTGTTTTTGTTTTTTTTTTAGAGTGGAAAAAGGAAAAAAAAAAAGAATAGAGACATGAAGATAATTACTTGAAGTCACAAATGGCAAAAGTTAGATTAGAACCCAGATTAAAACTACCACTCCCTTCTTTTTCACCATAAATTGTGTTTTTAAAATTAATTTGTTTCCCCACAGGAGTAATTGCAGAATAACTTTAAGAAAATGAGTGGGCACTTGTGAGAAGTATCAAAATCTTTAGTTGGTCACTATTTTATCCTGAACCCTTCACATTTTACTCATTGCTTATTCTCCTAGCCTAGGGTACACTTCTACTGTTTTTAAGAAATGCAATTTTAGCTTGCATCTCTATTGCTATTGACTAATCTACTAATCATGCTTTTAAAATATCCCATTACCTCCCAACTCTAAGATCACAAGATGAATAATAAAAACAACCTTCAATTCTTCCTTTATCCCAATATTTCAAATGAGTTCATATTTAGAATTATTAATGTTTGACAAATGTTTACGACCATGTGGTATAGCTTTTTCTTTCCATATTCCAGAAAGCATTAAGTTCCAGAATAAAGCACTGAAGAGGATGTTAAAAGTCAAATTCTGCTATTGACAAGCTGTTATAGCTTGTTATTCTCCAAACTTACTTGAGCACAGATCCCATGTTCATGTAGCACCACTAAAAAAATTTTTAAGCTCTAATGAGCTTCACAAAGTTAAGGGAATAAATGTTCCTTAATTGACAGATGCTAAGTTAAGTAGGTGAGTAAATGAACTTAATAATTTGGAGATGGACAAAGTATATTGCTTAATCTTTAAAAACCTGCTATTGTTGCCATCAGTATTCTTCCCATGTTTCTCCTTTCATTTTTCTCAGTATTTCTCCATGCTTTTTATGAAATAGATCTTCTATTGATTGCTTATTTATCTTTGAATAAAGGCCTACAAATGGGACTAAAAACATAAAAGAAAATAAAGTACAAGAATTTTGTCATGAAAATTTCATGATCATCTAGTTTAAAGGAAATATGGAAAAAAACATAAAAACACATTTGTCACTTTTTAGTTACATAATATACATGGAATATGTGTTTCTGATAAATTAGCTTCAAAGAGCACAGAGTACTGACATATTTTGCATGTTTAAAATATTTTTAAGTAAAAAAGAAAACAGTTAACAGAATTTATAAAGACAATACTTGTTAGTTTTTTACTAATAGTAGCTGTTTGTGAATGAGTTACAGTGCTCAAGAATCTTTGCCACAGTCCATAAAATAATCCTGTTACTTTAGAAACCTTAAAGGAACTTTCTAGTGCCATTGTAAAGTATTATGCTAAAAATAAGTGGAAACAGGGTATACAGGATACCGAAGGTCACACAAGTGAGTCAATAATAAGTGGGAATAGACTTCCTGAGTATCGTCACACAGTCTTCAATCTCTAACTGCTAAACCTCCGTTTTTGTGAATATATAAGCTTAAGTATACACCCACCTCCTTCACATGTGCCAATCCTGGAAAATGGCATAGTGGGGGTAGTTTGTAAAAATAAAGATATTTCAGGAAAGCATCAGATAATTGCCTGAAATTTGAAGGTACTAAGTTTTTAGCATTCTCTTCCTATTCTTCTTACTTTCCCCCTCATTGTTTTTCTAAAATTCACTGAAGTACCTTCTACACCTCACATTTCTATGTGCTAAAAAAACATGCATGTTCCCCAAGGAAATAAATATGGTAATTTTATGCTTTCCTCTCTAAACCTTCAAAAATACAACACTTATCTCAAGTATGATGATACAATTTGGTTGCCAAGTTTATCTGTAATAAATACATAATCAAAATCATGTCCATTAGAAAACAATAAGATAGATTTCAAAAAGTACATGGTATTTATTATGAGATAGGATGGAAAAATGCAAAAATACCCCTTCTTTAACTTCATGGTAAAACAAAAATATTTGGGGAAAAAATAAAATAATTAAATAAAATTATCCTCCTACCAATCACCATAACATGAGCCCACAGAATAAAAGTACAAAACAGTAAAATTATTATTGTGCTTCAAACACTTATATAGCTAAACCAATAACTAAAAATAGAACATGGAATACTGTTCCATCTTGTATATTTTACGAAGTGCTGTTGATATCCCTTTAATTAGTTTAAATAAACAATTTCATTACAAAGCAAACTTTCATTTCTGAACTACCTATTTAATAATACATATCATTGTAACATATCTTCTCATTTTCTTTAAATTATTGATCCTTAAATAGATCTTACCTATTACTTTAGTAGATAAAGCATAGAAATGTATAGGCAAAAATGATAATTTCCTTAAAATGCAATAACAAAAATGCTAAACTGTCTAAACCAACAAATTCTGAAGTCTCTTGGTGCACAATTCTGTGAGCATTATTCAGCATAAGTGAGCAAATGAAACTAGTGAACGTGCAGAAGTATCATTATAACAATTTATGAATTTGTCATCTTAGAAATATACTGGAAATATTTCTAAAGAATAAGATTTAGATTGAAGAAGCAATTTTATTCAAAATTCAGCTATGTTACATGCTACAAACAAAGTTTTAGCTTGGTACAAAACAAGCAGCAGATATAAGTAAAGACACAGCCCTGCTAGGAATAAACAAAATAAAATAAAACAGCTAATTAACTCACCAAATGGCCTTTTGCTGAAAACCTGTATTCTCTCTATCTCAAGCTTCTGGTTTCCAAAGACCAATCACATGCTTTCTAACAGAATAATGACAAAAGGGCACATCATGATCTCTTTCCTGCTTTTCCCACTAAAGAAAACTGAAACACACTGCAATCTCCTCTTAAGATAAATTCTTCATATGAGCATGCTCAGTATCTAATTTAAATGACTTGGTGTTTTATCTCAGCATGTGATGACCTACTTCAAAACAAACTCAGAGAGCTGCAAATTCAATGGAAGATCATTAACTGTAATAAACTAAATGGAACCACCAAATGATAATTGATTTGTTTTTAATTTCATGATTTTTGTGGTTCATTTAACTTGATGTGATTGAAAATGATTACTTCTGCACTTTTATTAAAACAACTCCTTAGGTTTCTATATTCAGTTAACTATGTCAACATTAAATATGAACTGAAATTTAAAAAAATCCAGAATGCGAACCAAAAATGTAAATATGACCACTGATAAATTAAGCAAACTGTAAGATATCCATATTTCGCTTTTGTATCTCTTATTCTGTCCTCTTGACTATTCTCCAAATAAAATAGTCTGAAAACTATGTAATAGTATTTATTTCTCCTCTGGAAAGATTAGCAAACTGAAATGTGTCTTTTATTAAAAATGTTTATTATTTTCAAACTACAGTAATAATAGTATTTTTCTCATCTATAGATAATACAACCGCAGTCCTCACCCAAATACTGATAAACCTATAAAATAGGACCTTTAAAATATTTTGTGCATTGTAAAAAACAAGTTTTGCCAAAATGTTACAAAACCAATCCCCAAATATATATATATATATATATATATATATATATATATATATATATATATATATATATATATATATTTATACCATAAAATAAATAATTTGCCTGATTTGCTGAATAAACTGCTACAAAGACCATGTAGTTTTGGATAATAGAAATATGGTCAAGAAGCTTATCCTTTGTTCTATCTCGATCTTCCATAAACAGAGATTTAGAACAGCCCCACCAAAACCAACCAGACAGCTCTGTCATATCCACTTCCCATTTTCATCTTGCACAGACAGGCAAAAAAAAGGGAAGTGTTCAAGCCACTGACAGTGGAGATGAAACCATCTTTAAGTGGGCATGTATGCTAATTAGTGTTGTTCCTTCTTCAGAACCCTTCTTGGTCACAATAACTAAAATGTTAAATCACAAAGAAAATGTATGGAACCACATCTAACTCCTACATCTTCTTAGGAGGTAGAAAGTGTGAAATTAAAAGAAAACTATGAACACACCATCTTCTTTAGCATTCTTATTGACAATGATATAACTGCAAGATCTGTGGGTACCATATGCTACATTCCAAAAGCCCAAGAAAAGAAACAGCAAAGAATAAAAGCAAATACCAAGAGTCACACAACTTATTAAGAAGCACCAATTGTATATATTTTTTTGTACTAGTATTACACATGTGTCAGTGTAAGAATTCTATAAAAAGAATAAGTTACCTGTATTACTCAAGGAAAGTTCTATGATTCCTGAATGAGAAGAGTTCTTAAAAAAACACTAATTGTGATCTATAAATTTTTATTAAGAACATGATATGGTGCAAGACAACACATAGTGAAAATATAAATGAGTGCCATTATCAAAGTGTGTTCAACTAGTAGAGACAATGAGGCAAGAATATGTATTATAGCAAAAGATAAGGGGCTTTAGTATTTACAAAGCATTCTTATGAGGAAATTAGTAAAGGTTTTGTGTGGAGGGTATACTTTATGCAATGCTTAGATGAACACTAATGATCTAGACCAGAAGGAGAGGGAAGGAAGAGTTAACACCCAGGTAAGAGGCTGAGCTGGGAGAGTAGAGGATGTAGAAACTGGTGTGGGGACTACAGAACTTGAGGCATTGGTAGTGTGAATACTGTAAAGTGAAGGTGTCAACACTGAGAAGAGAGAAAGGGATAAAATTATTCTGCAGTGAAATGTGAAAGCAGATGGCAAACATTCTAGACCCTGGATAATGGAAGAGTTAGTGGTTTGTGTTGAAAAGCAGAGTAAGTCAATTCTAAGAAAGAGGCAGATACAAAAACAGGTTAAAAGATAACAGGTAAAAGAAATATTAATTACTCTTTTCAAATCCACAATTTGAATTTCTCTATCATTTAATTGCTCTTTAACTTGAATTTCGTCTCTCTGATACATTGAACTCAAGTATTCTGATTTAAACTGAGATCAATGTGCAATCACATGGGCCCTTTTATTTTAATTAGAGGTCCTGTTAATTTTTTTTCAAATCTTTCTATCTTATCACTTATTACTAATTTACTGATCTAACTCCTCTGTACCAGAAAACCTGATGTAATATTTCCCAAAAGCTACCCAATAAGAATGACTAAAAATCCAACCAAAGCTATTAACCTATTCTACGACAAATATGTATCCTTCAACAACTTTACTCATTTCTACTGCATTCAATTACATGTACACCATGAAGATGGGTGGATGTCTCCATGACTTAAACATACTTGGCTTTCATATGATTCCTAAACAGAGAGGGAACAGAAGAAGCAAGCATTAATAGTGAAACTCATACTGCTATTAACTGTGCTTGATTTTGTTTGTTTAACCAACAGACTGGATTTTCTAGAGCAGTTTTAGGTTCACAGTAAAACTGAGCAGAAAATACTCAGATTCCCCACATTCCTCCTTTCCTCACCCCTGCATAGTTACTACTGATGAATATACACTGACATATTATCACCTGGATTCTACAGTTTACATTAGGGTTAACTCTGGTATAATGGCACATGATATGGGTTTAGTCTCATATTGCACCTTGTTGGTTTTCTATTTAACAGAAGGTTACAATACAATCATCTGGGTAGTTGGAGAACACGAGAAAACACACACACACACACACACACACACAAACATACATACTTTCAGGGTCCAGAAATCTTTCATCTGTCTTTCTGGTGTGGGGCCAAACAGGATTCCCTTGTTAAGAGACACTGCTCTGGCGGCTTGTTGGTTCACAGGGTAAGACAAATAAACAATAACTGAAATACAATGTTAGAAAGTTGAGAAGAAAATATGGTAAGAACACAGTAATTTTGTATGGAAGTGAGCCACAGACTACAAATTACTTGAGCACGGCTGACACTGAACAAGATGTTCAGAAACAAAAAGGAGGATGAACACTTTGATAAGAGAAAACATGAAGGCTTGTGCATGTACAAATATGCAACAACAAACCCTATCAACATGTATAACACCAATAAAAATGTAGGAAAAAAAGATAAAACATGTGGGCAACGTAGAAAGCTAGGGCAAGTATGTAAGTGTGGGGAAAAACAGTTCTATAGCACTGTCTGAGGGTGAGGAAGACAGCAAAGCATAAACAGGTCAGCAAGGAATATTAATAGTATGAACTTATTTCTGCAAGCATTACAGAGACACTTATTTATTCTAATTTGTTACACATGACAGCAGAATGCATTTTCAATTCATAGTACACATATGGAAGACTATTTTTCATTTCTGTGGTTGTACACAAAGTAGAGTCACACCATGTGTGTATTCATACGTGTACCTAGGGTATGATGTCCATCTCATTCCACCATCTTTCCTTCCCCCATACCCCCTCTCTTCCTCTTCCTCCCCTTTGCCCTATCCAAAGTTCCTCCACTCCTCCCATGTTCCCCCACCATCCCCATTAAGGATCAGCATCCACTTATCACAAAATATTTGGCCTTTGGTTTTAGGGGATTGGCTTACTTCACTTATCATGGTATTCTCTAATTCCATCCATTTACCTGAAAGTGCCATGATTTTATTCTCTTCCAATGCTGAGTAATATTCCATTGTGTATATATAACAGTTTCTTTATCCATTCATCTACTGAAGGGCATCTGGGTTGATTCCACAGTTTAGCTATTGTGAACTGAGCTGCTATAAACATTGATGTGGCTGCATCACTTTAGTATGCTGTTTTTAAGTCCTGTGGGTATAAACCGAGGAGTGAGATAGCTGGGTCAAATGGTGGTTCCGTTCCAAGTTTTACAAGGAATCTCCATACTGCTTTCCATTTTGGCTACACCAATTTTCAGTCCCACCAGCAATGTATGAGTGTGCCTTTTCCTCCACATCCTTGCTAACTTATTGTTGCTTGTATTCTGAGTAACTGCCATTCTGACTGGAGTGAGATGAGTAGTTTTGATTTGCATTTCTCTAATTGCTTGAGATGTTGAACATTTTTTCATATATTTACTGATGGATTGCATTGTCATTTTCTGAGAAGCGTTTGTTCAGTTACTTAACCCATTTATTGACTGGGTTATTTGTTTTATGGTGTTAAGTTTTTTGAGTTCTTTATATATCCTAGAGATTAGTGCTCTGCTATGTGTGTGGTAAAAAGTTGGTCCCATTCTATAGGCTCTCTCTTCACCTCACTAATTATTTCTTTTGCTAGGAAGCTTTTCAGTTTGAATCCATCCCATTTATTGATTCTTGATTTTATTTCTTGTGCTACAGGAGTCTTGTTAAGGAAGTCAGGGCCTAACCTGACATGATGATGATCTGGGCCTCTTTTTCTTCTACTAAGTGCAGGAGGATCTCTAGTTTAATACCCAGGTCCTTGATTCACTTTGAGTTGAGTTTTATACAAGGGAGAGATAGGGGCTTAATTTCATTTTGTTGCATATGGATTTACAGTTTTTCTAGCACCATTTGTTAAATAGGCGGTCTTTTCTCTAATATATGTTTTTGGCACCTTTCTCTAGTATGAGATAACTACATTTATGTGGGTTTGTCTCTGTGTCCTCTATTCTGTACCATTGGTCTACAAGTTTATTTTGGTGCCAATACCAGGCCATTTTTGTTACTATTACTCTGTAGTAAAGTTTAAGGTCTGGTATAGTGATGCCACCTGCTTCACTCTTCTTGCTAAAGATTGCTTTGGCTATTCTGGGTCTCTTCTGCCTATCCAAAATAAAGGGAGATCTTTCCATCTTTTAAGGTCTTCTTTAATTTCTTTCTTTAGTGTTCTGCAGTTTTCATTATAGAAATCTTTCACCTCTTTCATTTATTCCCATTTTTTTTGAGGCTATTGTAAATAGAATACATTTCCTAGTTTCAGAGGATTCGTCACTGATGTACAGAAATGCATTTGATTTATGGGTGTTGATTTTATATCCTGCTACTTTGCTGAATTCATTTATTAGTTCTAGATGTTTTCTGGTGAATGTTTTGGATCCTCTAACTATAGAATCATGTCATCGGTAAATAGTGATAGTTTTAGTTCTTCTTTTCCAATCTCTATCCCTTTAATTTCTTTCATCTAATTGCTCAGGCTAGAGTTTCAAGGACTATGTTAAACAGAAGTGGTGAAAGAGGACATCCCTGTCTTGTTCCAGTTTTTAGAGGGAATGCTTTCAATTTTTCTCTATGTGGAATGATGTTGGCCTTGGGCTTAGCATAGATAGCTTTTACAATGTTGTGATATGTTCCTAATATCTGTAGTTTTTCTAGTGTTTTAAACATGTTTGGAAGATCTGTATTTTGTCAAATGCTTTTTCTGCATCTATTGAAATGATCATGAGTCTTATCTTTAAGTCTATTGATGTGATGAAGAAACAATGAAAGAAGTGAAAGACCTCTACAATGAAAACTATAAAACACTAAAAAAAGGAATTAAAAAAGACCTTAGAAGATGAAAAGATCTCTCCCTTGTTCTTGGATAGGCAAAATTAAT